CCAATCACTGATTCTCTCTCACCATTGATGCTTTTATCTCTCTCTCTCTCTCTCTCTCTCTCTCTCTCTCTCTCCCTCTCTCCCTCTCTCCCTCTCTCCCCCCCTCTCCCTCTCTGAAATCAATAAAAATATATATATTTTAAAAAAATAAATGTTAAAGGGTCATCTTGAAGAAAAAGAAGGGTAAAGAAAGATAAAAAATATGAACAATAAAATGGCAATAAATACATATCTATCAACAATTGAATCTAAAAATCAAAATAAACAAGCAGAACAGAAGAAATAAAAAGAAATTTTTAAATGAGTTAAACATAAATTCAATTAAAAAACTTCAAATTATACCTGATAAAACAAAAATTACTTGAAAATTGATTGTGGATGAATAGCCCAGCCCATATTAAATACATCACAACCACATGATCTGTGGATAAAACTGAACTTTTTCCTTTACCTTCACTACAGAAAGGCTTATCAACCCCTGAAAATCGTACAGTCTCCTTTATAATTTTCTGTAGTTTACAGTAGTCACACATTGCTATAACTTTATTTTTCTTTTTGTAGTCATCACAGCAAGTCTTGCCACAAAAGAGAAACATTTTACCCTGTAAAGAAAGAACAGTCATTAAGACCTAATTAAGCAGTTGCTTTATCTTTAAAAAATATTTTTCCTTCTCGTTTCAAAGCAAATTAAATGAATTCACAGATGAAGAGACAAAAATGCTTCTTGGATAAGTTTAAATTCAATCTTTCACATGATCTCTCTTACCTTGTAGAAAAGAAGTTCTGGTTTTTTGGCAAACAGATTGATACAGTTCTGACACTTGAGTTTAACAACTGCATGGACTGAAGCAACTTGCTGGGATTGTGCAGCAAGAGAATGGAGACTGGCTGCAGCAGGGCCACTGACAGTGCTGGGGGGAGCCGTGGAGGTGCTGTTACCTCCTCTTGCTGACACTGTTGACCCAGAGGGCGGGCATATTTGGCCCTGAGACAGGGGCACTGCTGAAGACGTTGTTCCTTTTGGCTTGTCAAATACATCTGAAAGGAACACAAATAAGGCAAAGACTAACAATTAAGAAGTAACAGAACTTGGTAATTTTCATTTTCTCATTTTAATAAATTGCTTTAAAATTTATAAAGTAGTACACAGAAAGAGTTTAAATGGCATACTTCCAGAATAGAAGGACTGACAAATACAGGCTTTCCAGACAAAGACCTCTAGTGTATATGACCCTAATAAATTAAAGCAGGTCTGATGGCTATTAAGAGCACAGTGGTGCCCAACTGGCATGGCTTAATGGTTGAGCATCGACCTATGAACCAGAAGGTCACGGTTCGATTCCCAGTCAGGGCACATGCCTGGGTTGCAGGCTTGATCCCCAGTAGGGGGTGTGCAGGAGGCAGCTGACCAATGATTCTCTGTGATCATTGATGTTTCTCTCTCTCTCCCTCTCCCTTCCTCTCTGAAATCAATAGAAACAATAAAAAGAAAAAAAGAGCACAGTGGTCACCAGTGGTGTCTTCTTTCTAGTGCCAGGGCCATTGCATCAGGCATCTTCCCACCCTGCAGGATCTCTAAACTCTACTTTCTCTGAGAGTGAAGACAAAATGTGACAAGTGAAGGCTCCCAAGTCCATGCCAGGAGTCATTATGCATCTGGCCCAGGATGAGAGGAAGAAATACATGAACACATCACCATAGTTGAACAGAATTTTTTTCTAACTGAAATTTAACCTTTTATAAGTATGGACCTTCAGCAGTTAACATTTTGCCATAGATCAATGCCTAAGAGAACTGCAGGGGTAACATACTATCTTAGCTCATACCTGGAAAGCCACAACACAACTGGAGCTGCAGAAGCTGAATATACTTCCATTGGACATAGCTAGGTGATACTGAGGGACTGCCGAGGTTTTACAACTATGACACGAAACCTGGACACCTTAGTAACAAAAAATAAAAACCAATGAATAAGTTACACAGATGAACAAATAATCCCAAAAAAATGTGTTAGAATAAATACACAAATAATAATATCCAAAATAAAAATCAAGGAACTTTATAATAACCTGTCAAGCTAACTATAACATCCTCAATTAAGTTCCATTTACACAAAAACTAACTTGGAACTTATGTGGGTGTTTTTTTTCACACATGAGACTACATACACACATGCACACACAAACACCTCAACCAAGGAAATCTGTAGAAAAACTATTTTCATTTAAAAATCAGTTCTTTAGCCCTAACCGGTTTGGCTCAGTGGATGGAGCGTCGGCCTGCGGACTGGAGGGTCCCAGGTTCGATTCCAGTCAAGGGCATGTACCTTGGTTGCAGGCACATCCCCAGTAGGAGGTGTGCAGGAGGCAGCTGATCGATGTTTCTCTCTCATCAATGTTTCTAACTCTCTCTCCCATCCTCTCTGTAAAAAATCAATAAAGTACATAAAAAAAAAGAAACATGGCCCTGCAGACACCTCAATTTCAAACTTCTAAATCCAGGACTATGAAACAATATATTAAAAATAATAATAAATAAAATAAAATAAAAATCAGTTCTTTAAAACTAAACCAATATTGTGCAAATTTAGTTTCCAACAAAATGAAAGAAAAGCATTTACATTCTTCTTCAGTATTTACTACTAGTAAATCTACAAATTTATCAAATTTAAACATTACCTGAAGAAGTAACTGTCTTAACTCTATAAGCAGATAAGCAGTTAATAGAGCAGAAAAGCTCTGTTTTTCCTGAGTCACTGGTAGTCTCAATCATTTCAGCTGAGGGCCTCAATGATTTCCCCAAGGCATACGGATGTGTCTGGGCTGAATTCTGTTAAGAAAATACATCTGTTAAGAAATAAAATTTAAAAAAAAAAAAGAAATAACATTCACACACCTAATCATACAATACATATATACATACTGTTTAAGAAAAAGAAAAGAAACCTACAACCACTGCCTTTGGTTGAAATATTTGAGCGTGACAGTGAGGCCACACCAAACATAGACTTCTCTGAAAGTTGGGATATGGGAAAAGTAAGTTTTTTCAGATAATAATAAAATGTAAATTGAAGAAAATTAATAACTACTCAGGTAGATTAGCAACAACAAAATACATTAAAAGTAATGAATTAGATAGTCATAACATACTTTTCTCATCACAAATGATCAGAGAAGACCAGGTAATGCATGAACCAAAGGCTCATCCTCAGAGCAGACTTAGACATCAATCTAGGAAAGAATTTACCACCTTTAATGTTATTTAAGTAGTAAGACTCTTTAGGAGGAGGAGATAGAAACAATGTGGGTTTTTTTGTTTGTTTTGTTTTGTTTTTGTTATATATCCTATATAATAAAACCCTAATATGCAAATCGACCAAACAGTGGAATGACTGGTGGAATAACCGGTCGCTATGATGCATGCAGACGCTCAACGCAGGAGCTGCCCCCTGGTGGTCAGTGCGCTCCCACAGGGGGAGTGCCGCTCAGCCAGAAGCCAGGCTCATGGCTGGCAAGTGCAGCAGCAGTGGCGGGAGCCTCTCCCACCTCCGTGGTAGTGCTAAGGAGCAGCAAGCAGGCAGATAGTAAGGAGTGAGGGGTACCTTCCTCTTTGTGAGAGCACAGGCCGGGCTGAGGGGACCCCCCCACCACCACCACCAGTGCACGAATTTCATGCACCAGGCCTCTAGTATATCAATAAAATAGATTCTATTCCTGTGACAGTAGTAACCAGACTGCCAAAGGCTGCAATTCCTAGAAAAGTAATACTTTTCACAAGATGAATGTCCATTACCAACTGCTTAGAGGAATTAAATAGAAATCAAACTTGCTAACTAAAAAATGTTTTAATTATTACTTAATATCCTTTTGTAAAAATGGAACTTTTTAAAGACCCAAGTCATTCAGCAAGAATTAAATTGACACAAATTGATATACTTAGTAACCAAATGAATGCATTATTCAAAAATATAAACAAAAATCAGCTAAAGTATTCTAAGTAGGTAATGTTGCCAAAATAATTATAATTCATTCCAAAACACATTAAAAAAATATTTTTTCTTTTTTGTTTTTTTTGTTGTTGTTGTTAATCTTCATTCTTTAAAAAAGAAAAAAAAAAAGAAGCCCTAGCTGGTTTGTCTCAGTGGATAGAGTGTCAGCCTGCAGACCAAAAGGTCCCGGGTTTGATCCGATCAAGGGCACATGCTTGTGTTGTGGGCTCGATCCCCAGTGGCGGGCGTGCAGGAGGCAGCCAATCAATGATTCTCTCTCAGCATTGATGTTTATCTCTCTCTCCCCCTCTCTGAAATCAATACAAATATTTTTTAAAAAAAGAATAATTTACTGATTTTAGAGAGGGAGAAGAGAGAAACATCTATGTGAGAGCATAATATTGATCCGCTGCTTCCTGCACACCCCCTACTGGGGATTAAGCCTACAACTTGGACACGTGCCGTGACAGAGAATCGAACCAGCAACCTCTTGATGCATGAGACAATGCCCAACCAACTGTGCCACACTGGCCAGAGCAAGCGCTCACTCTTTTCTTGTGCACTTCATTCTTGCACAGCCATCTCAGGAGGGGAGAGCCCAACTATATGCAACAGACTGATATTCATACCTGCTTATATGCTGTGACACTTGTTGAAGTAAAAACCTTCTGGGACTGGGAAGAGCCAGAGCTACTATAGCAATAGCTCCCACAGTTCTCACAACATTTCATAGTGAGGTTGTTGGTAGAGTGAAATTTTGAAAAACAGGCATCACTACAAAGACCATGTACCACATTTTGATACTTAACTTCAAATCGAATCTAGGAGAAAAAACACATATATGCATACAAAATAAGAGCCAGTTAAAAATCTCTGATCTTTGAGCAGAATCCCAATAAAGGTAAAATGTAACTTACATCAGCATTCTTCTGACACATACTGCACTTAGTTGAAGTGCTATTGGTATATATGGTAACAACAGGTTTTTTCTTTAGTTCATAAGAAGAAAGGCATGATTGGCTGCAGAAATCTTTGCTAGGAGAGGAATTTCCAAATCGGGCTGTGATCACATTCTTAGGATTTAAAAGGTCTCTAAAAATAAATAACAAAGGCAAAATGAAATGTGTTTTTCAAAACTGTAATTTCTTCCTCTTTGTGAGCTAAAATAACTACATTTACTAAGGGTAGTATTGTATAGTAGAAAATGGCCGACCCTGTGTATGGCACCTGGAAACCTGGGTTTAATGATTAGTTCTGTTACTTATCAGCTAAGTAACAATGAATAAGACAATTACTATCTTAATTTCCTCCTGTATAAAATGGAGTTCATAATACCAAATTTATATCTCATTGTATCTTCACCTGGCAGAGCAGCAAGGGAGCTCTGCAGGGTCTTTTATAAAGAGCACTGATCCTGCCCGGCTGGTGTTGCTCAGTGGTTGAGCGTTGGCCTATGAACCAGGAGGTCACTGGTTCGATTCCCGGTCAGGGCACATGCCCAGGTTGTAGGTTCAATCCCCAGTAAGGGGCATGCAGGAGGCAGCCGATCAATGATGTTTCTCTCTCATCGATGTCTCTATCTCTCTATCCCTCTCCCTTCCTCTCTAAAAAAACCTCAAAAAAAAGTATGTTAAAAAAATATTAGCATAATATATAAAATTTAGCTATAACTAAAAAGATGTTTGATTCCAGTCAAGGGCATCTGCAAAGAAACAGATGACAAAAGGATTATTAAGGCTTGGTATCAGAGGACAGAATCAAGAATAAGACAAAAGAACACAAATAACTGAGATGTTTTTTATAAAAGTTCACCTACAATAAGCACTGACAGTAAAAACAGAGGCTAAATATTGCCATTCTTCTGACAAGCATAAAAACTGAAGGAAATAGTCATTAATCAGAAATACTAGTGCAGGCCACAAAGTAAAAAAATAATGGCAATAATATTATATACTATAATAACGTGCATTGAATAATAACTATGTGCCAGCATTCTTCTCTTTACTCAAGTTATCCAATTTAATTGTTGCAAAAACTCTATAAGTATTATTATAATTGCCATTTGATAGATGAGGAGACTAAATCAAAAATGTCCAAGTCACATAGCTGGGAAGCAGTAAAGCCAGAATACAAATCCCAGCAGTCAGATTCTACAGTCCATGGAATTAATCATTCCAATATCCTGCCTTATACATCCTGTACATCTTTATTATACAGAACTATTCCATGGTAAATTATGAAAGAACAACAATAACGATTTGATAAATTTTCTAAAACTCACCTACCGTTAAAAATATGTCAGTGAGCCCTAACCAGTTTGGCTCCATGGACAGAGCATCAGCCTGCAGACTGAAGGGTCCCAGGTTTGATTCTGGTCAAGGGCACATGCCCAGGTTGCGGGCTCAATCCCTAGTAGGGGATATGCAGGTGGCAGCTGATCAATGATTCTCTCATCATTTATGTTTCTATCTCTCTCTCCCTCTTCCCTTTCCTCTCTGAAATCAATAAAAATACTTTTTTAAAAGAAAGATTGAATAGACTGTCCAACCTATGAGGGAAGGCAGGAGAGTGAAGGGGTAAGAGATCAACCAAAGGACTTGTATGCATGCATATGAGCATAACCTATGGACACAGACAGTAGGGGGGTGAGGGCATGTGCTGGGGGGTAGGAGTGGTTGGGGAGAGATCAATGGGGGAGGGGAGAAAGGAGGCTCATGTAATACTTTAAACAATAAAGAATTTAAATTTAAACAAATAAAAATATCTAGCCCAAGGTCATACAGTTAATAAGTAATAGAGCCATGATCTAAAACCAAGCTCTTAACTTTTCTTGCTCTTAGAGACTACTGACAATACACTGTATTCCTAGAATTATATTACCACAGAAATGGGCAAAACATGCCAAATTCTTCAAAGGTACTAAGGTAGAAGAAGTTTATGTGACTTTCCTTTCTCTTTCTGAATCTATGCATTATTTGAAGCAACAATGATCCCCAACAAAACTAGAATTTTTTTTAGAAATAAACACATTATATTTGTGGCCATTGAGAGTTTTTAACCTTTTAATGAATTAAATAATTTTCACATACTATTTTATTTTGAGTGATATTATTTTATCTTATACTTCAATAACATTCAAGATAAATAATTTTGAATGGCTGTTGTCTGATTACAGGCTATATGAATGATCCTGCAATTCCCACAAATTGTTTATTTCTTTCCATAGTAAAATTTAAACTGAAAGAGATTAAAAAAAACTGGTTTAGGCAATACTTTTTACACCAAATCATTTCTTTAATGTTACAAAAACTTTATAATCTGCCAAATTCTCAATAGCTAAAATGTTATTTCCACAGAATTGAGCTAAAGAGATTGAAAGTAGCGAAAGCATGTTTGAACTAAACTATCTATCTATCTATATAAAAGCTTAGGTGACTGTTATGACCGGTCGACCAAACGACCAGTCACTATGATGAGCACTGGACACCAGGGGGCAGATGCTCAATGCAGGAGCTGCCCCCTGATGGTCAGTGAGCCCCCACAGTGGGAGTGCCACTCAGCCAGAAGCCAGGCTCATGGCTGGTGAGCGCAGCAGCGGTGGCGGGAGCCTCTCCCACCTCCCTGGCAGTGCTACCGAGCAGCAGCAGTGGCAGCAGGCGCAGGGGGGCCCAGATGAGCGGGAGTAGTGCGGCACCCAGCCCCAACTCTGGCTCCTCCCTGGCTACCTGCTGCTTTGCGCACAGCTACATCCCCCAAGGGATCCCAGATTGCAAGAAGGCACAGGCCAGGCTGAAGGACCCTACCGGTGCACAAATCCATGCACCGAGCCTCTAGTATACACACAAAAAGGGTAAAAAGATGTAATTAAAAATTTTATACTTCGAGCAGTTTGTGCAGGTTTTCTTGGGAGGAGGTGGTAGGCAGACAGGTGAAGAATATCTGGCAATGCACCGCGTGGAGCAAAAGAGCTGAGTAGATCCTGTCTTATGATATGCGTTTTGCCCTTTATAAAGCATTTTTTTACAACCAGAACAAACAGCTTGCAAAGCTATAGCTGGAACTGAAGGAAGCAATCTATTTGGGCCAGTTGATGCAAGAGGAAACTGAAAGCCTGGGGTCAACTGTTGGGCTATTAAAAACAAAAAAACAAAAAGAAAAGTTTTAGTATCAATATAAACACATAATATTCTCTATTTTTAGGACAATTCCCTCAGTCTTAAATTCCAATATAAATGAGGCAATAAGCATTCCAGGGGATTTCAAACTTTCTAAAACCAGAACCCCTAGTAAAAACCATGTTTCACATTATAACCCAGCATACATGTACATACATGTGTATGTGTAGGTGGAATATAATTTAATAACTGACATAGTAGTTTCATGAAATAATGTTTCCTTACTACATGCATTATCTGATATACTAGTAATCTTATTCCACTTTTAAAATGCTGGTCAAGCCCAGCTGGTTTTGCTCAGTGGCTGGCACTGACCCATGAACCAGGAAGTCATGGTTTGATTCCCAGTCAGGGCATATGCCCGGGTTTGAGCTTGATCCCCAGTGTGGGGCATGCAAGGGGCAGCCAATCAATGATTATCTCTCTTCATTGGTGTTTCCATCTATCTCTCCCTCTCCCTTTCTCTCTGAAATCAATAAAAATATATATATTTTTTAAATGCTGGTCAAGACCAGCTACTCAGTGTGAAAGCATTGCTTTGTCTAAAGGAAGAAAAAACTTATATGAGGTGCTTTCCCTAAATTCTACTAGTCAGAATATAACAAATATTCATTATAATTAACTTTTTCAGTTCTGCTGCTTACCAAGAGGAATTCCACTGATTGAAAACACAGCATTAATTTTCAATTCACTTCCTTGAATTTTTGGCTTTGGGGCATGTCCATACTCCTTAAAGGAGAAAAAAGAGAGAGAGAAATGAATATAGTGTTAGTATCTAAGTAAACTAGAAATACAAGAAAAGCCTAATTCTGTCATATTCACCTTTTCTATATCCTAATTGTAATCACCTTCACAACTACCTCAAAAGTCAAAATTTACAAGTTATTATAACAGTTAATCTTTATAAAAAGGATCTTTCAGAACTGGAAAGCCTTTCATAATAGTTATATCTACTTTTCAAATGTAACCTTCATATACAGGCGTAATATACAGCATTTCCATGCTGAGCACTACTCTTCTCTTAGACTGTGTTTATAAGGGAACAATAAATTAAATTAATCTGAATTATTTAGAATTTGTAAAATTAGTAATTTCAGCCAAGACATTTACATGCTGTCATATCTGTTAGCAGAAAAGACACAAGAGTTTCTGCTCATTATGCCTAAAATCATCACAGTCCAGCCCTAGCTGGTTTGGCTCAGTGGATAGAGCATCAGCCTGCGGACTGAAGGGTCCCGGGTTTGATTCCAGTCAAGGGCACATGCCTGGGTTTCGGGCTTGATCCCCAGTAGGGGGCATGCAGGAGACAGCCAATCAATGATGCTTTCTCATCATTGATGTTTCTATCTCTCTCTACCTCCCCCTTCCTCTCTGAAATCAATAAAAATATATATATTTTTAAAAATCATCACAGTCCAAATCAGATTTACCCTTAACATATTTTTAAGTGCTTAAAAATAAAATACAATCATGAAACAAAAATTTAAAAATATATATACCTATCTTTGTAAGACTGTCTTTATTCTTTTTTCTTTTTCCCAGAAACAAAGAAAGGAAGGGAGAGGGAAGGAGAAAATGATCAAGGTGAGAGTGAAACATCCATCAGTTGCCTCATGCACACTCCCCTACCGGGGATCGAGCCCACAATCTGGGCATGTGCCCTGAACAGGAATGAAACTGGCAACCTTTCAGTGCACTGGACAACGCCCAACTAACACCCTTCCTTCTGCCCTACCCACACACACACACACACACACACACACACACATACACATACACACACACACACACAAGACTGAAAGGACCATGTCCACTATGGACAAGGACCATATTTGTTTTCCCACATCTATATACTCAACAGCCAGCAGTCAACATAGCACAACAGAGGAGACTCTGGGTTCTGACAGTAGACAGACAGATGTGATCTTGGCTCAGACAAGTTATTTAATCTTCTTTAGTTTCAACTTTCTTATTTATAAAATATATTATCTAACCTGTAGGCCCATTATGAAGGATAAATGATTTAATACCAACAAAGTATGTAGCATGATGCCTTACAGTTAGCCAAAAGTTAAGCATGATTTACACAGAAAAATACTAGCTATAATTATTATTTTCACTAGAGGCCTGGTGCACAAATTTGTGCACCAGCGGGGTCCCTCGGCCTGGCCTGAGGGATCAGGCCAAAACCAGCTCTCCGACATCCCAACTGAGGGGTCTTGGATTGTGAGAGGGTGCAGGCCCTACGCCGCCATCTTGGTTCTCTCTCTGAGAAATCTGTCTTCCTCCCTTTTGATTAAATGTATATTTTAATCCATTTCCTTATACAGTAGGTCCTCAGGTTATGTCAGAGATCCGTTCCTATAGCGCGACCTAACGCGATTTTCACTATAAGTCAGAACTCACCTACATAAGCACCTATGTCACTCACATGGGAGGACATACACAGCAATAATGAAGTGAAACAGTAAAAAAAAAATTAAAAGAAAGATAACAATTCCTGACTTTTACTTGCGGTAAATAAATAATAAAAAACACATATGTACATATGTCAAAATGATGAAACTTTTTTTTTATAAATACTGTAAATGGGCCCTAGCCAGTTTGGCTCACTGGATAGAGCGTCAGCCTGGGGACTGAAGGGTCCCAGGTTCAATTCCAGTCAAGGGCATGTACCTTGGTTGCAGGAACATCCCCAGTAGGGGTTGTGCAGGAGGCAGCTGATCGATGCTTCTCTCTCATCGATGGTTCTAACTCTCTATCCCTGTCCCTTCCTCTCTGTAAAAAATCAATAAAATATATATTTAAAAAAAATACTGTAAATGGGAGATGGCAACATACCCACGAAATGACATACGTCGAGTCTGACATAATCTGAGGGCTGCCTGTATAATATACTATAATTACAGCATTTAATAAATATTTGTTGAATGAATGAATCCAACTCCACTCAATCCTAAGTGGATGTTCTTTATTATCCTATATAATAAAAGCCTAATATGCAAATCGACCAAGCGGTGGAATGAGCAGGCAGAAGGGGGCAGGGCCGGCGAGCAGGCAGCAGCAGTCAGCCAAGGTGGGTGCTCGCGAGCAGAGGGAGGGAACGGAGATGGGGGGGCGGCGACCAGCAGGGCAATGGGGGGCAGAGCTGGAGCTCCCCCCTGGTGGTCAGTGCACTCCCACAGGGGGAGCGCCACTCAGCCATAAGCCAGGCTGACAGCTGGTAAGCACAGCGGCAGTGGCGGGAGGCTCTCCCACCTC